CCCCAAAACCCCAAAACCCCAAAACCCCTATAAAATATATTAAAATAAAATTAACTGAGATTTAAATAGAATGAGTGAACAAAATTTTGATTTGGTATGTGTCCAACCAAATTTTGAATATTCACAGAGGCTGTGTAGATGATTAGCTTGTTTTGACAACTGAGGGTCTTTATATGTATAGTTTTTAGCCATGCTGGGTCTCTTTTTGAGCCAGATTATTAGTTTATTTATAAGTTATAAACGAATATTTTTATTCTATAGGATACGATATCGAAAATTTTGAGGAAACCTAATTCACAAAGGTCGTACAAGGATAATGAGAAGACAGCATCAGTGATAAAAAATCTAAAATTCATAAAAGAGCAGAATTTGCCTGATAAATAACCTTCTTGACCTGGCCCAGTGCCTCAATCTCCTTGAGATGGAAGACGGAGACCTCGTATTTGATTATGGGACTGAGGGAGACTTGTTCTATATCATCCTCTCTGGAGCTGTTTCTATTTTAATTCCTGACAAAAGTAAGTTCCTTGCAAACATTTTCCTTTAACAAAATTTAGAGAGTGGGGAAGAGGCTAGAAACCTCAGTATATTCGAGCAGACCCAGCTAGGCCAAAAAGCCATGCTAGAGCTTCTCAACTTCTTCGAAATAGCAAAGCTAGTTTCAGGCTCTAGCTTTGGAGAGCTTGCACTACTTAACTCTGGAGACGGGAAGAGAAAAGCAAGGATTGTCTGTAAAGAGGATTGCAAATTCGCTACTGTGAACAAAGAGAATTACCAGAAAGTCCTTGCTAAAATCCAGCAACAGCACAAAGAAAATATGATCAATTTTCTGAAGCAAATTCCTTTCATCTCGCATTGGTCAAAGAACGCTTTGAGCAGATTGTACTATGCAGTTGAGAAGGTAGACACCTTCCGTAGCCAACGAATCATCAAGGAAGGAGACCCAATAGATTACATTTATATTATCAAAGAAGGAGAATTCGAAGTCGTTAAGTACCTTGGAAAAGAAGATGAAGAAGAAAAGAGCAATAATGAAGAGAAAACTCTGATTCGGCCTTTACTCAAGCGAGAGGATGCCAAAATTTGTCGTGCAAAGAGGATCACTACTGAGTGGCACAACCCGAGTCGAGTCAAAAGGAGAATTAGACTTTCCCAATTGGGAGAATGCAAGCTGTTTGGCGATGGTGATGCAAGATTTGGGAAGAATGCTTCAGCTTCTGTATTCACTAGCAGCCAGAAAGCTCAAATTTTAAAAATCGACAAGGATGAGTTCATGAAATACATTAAGAGTGATGATGAAGCATGGAATAAATTCACCATGGCTTGTATTTCAAAAGAAAATGATTATGGACTGCGTATAAAAACATATCTCAAGCACATGAAGCAAAAGAGGATCATTGTTAAAAACTTGAAGAAAGAGAATAAGAATAGGTCAGATTTAAGCCCAGATGAAATTGATGTCAGACGCTCATTCGATATTACAGTTAATAGGATGAACAAGAGCTCTACTAGGAAAAATTATGATACCCAGAGATCAGAATTTATTAGAGAAGACTCCCAGATCTCCCTGGATAGAGGTATCCATAATCAGAGTATTCAGAGTATAATTAGTAAAACCCACACTGAGGTTAGCTTGAGCATGAAGAAGCAGTTAGACTCTTACCTAACGAATAGTCCATCAAGTATGATAAAATTGTGATTATATAGGGCAACGAAGAAGGATTATTAAGTTTAATCCTGTGTATCAGGCACAGTATGTCTCGAAACCAACTATCAAGAAGGACTTTAAGCTTCATTTAACTGGCTCAAAGGAAAAATAGCAAGCGTTTGAAAAAGATGATCCTCCCAATCATTAATATTAAGAAAGATAGCTTGGCTCAGAGGAATTTTCTAGTGCCAGCGAGGCTGAATAAAAGCCTAGATCAGACGTCTAAAAGAGGATCATATCTGAGCAATTTTCGTGATTCTCGTTTGCTGTTCGGGTCTTATAAAACACGAGAATAAGCTAATGTGACAAACTATAATTCTCACTAATTTTGAAAATGTTTCAAGTGAAGTTCTAGGTCTTAAATCATTATAGCAGGATAGTTAGAATATCAGAAAAATTCTCATTTTTCTGTGATGCTTAGAAACTTGAGGGAAATTTATTAGAAGATAAAATAATCCCACAGTTGTGAGTAAATTTAAGGTTTCGGAAGAAATTTATCATTATTTTAAATAAATCAAGAAGCGATCTATCCAAAAGTTTAAAATACCTTCCCCTCTTTAGAACACTCTCCATAATACATCAATAACAAACAGCTGGTAACAAATGTGCCTTCACAACAACTATATCAATTTTCCGTTCATTGTTCAATATTTTATACCATTTAAGGGGTTTTGGGGTTTTGGGGTTTTGGGGTTTTGGGGTTTTGGGGTTTTGGGG